CAGAAGCGATCTGTTTGAGCACTGACTGATTGGCGGTTTAGGCACGTCGTCTGCTGCTGTCGCGCGTGCGGCCAGAATGACTCCTCTTATCCAGACTTTAAAAGCAAAAGATCAGACGAACCTTTTACCTAATAACCCATCCGTGGGAACACACCCAAATCAGCGTCTCGGCTTTATCTCCAGCTCCACCGACCCAGCACCTTATCAGCAGCACCAGCAAATCCCCTCGATCGCCACCCCGCGCTAGGCGCCGGTACCGACGTTGCCCTGTGCTCGCCGGTGCATCATTCAGGCGCACGGATCGAGCATTAATCTAGTGGCTTGTGTCTGGCGGGAGCAGGATTCGACGGTCAGAGCGAGGCAGGATTTCCTCTGCTGCTGCTCATCGGCTCCCCGCACTTTCCAGGAGCAAGGATGTTGTGCGATGAACGTGTGGGAGTGTAAGCTAGTCAGGCACCACGGTCGCTCCAATTCCATCCATCCGGTCACACAGATGATCCTGCATTGCGTCTCAGAAGCACAACCATAAATGTTCGTAGACGGGGACTAATCAGCAATTAATTCACTACTATTGTACTAAGGAAAAAGATCGGAATGGGCACATCAGGTGGATTCGTTATCTCTTCCATCCGGCGCCAGCACCAGCACCAGCAGCAAACACGGTTACGGTGTGCTCTAACAGTGGATCTTGTTCCATTCCGGCATGACCAGCGGAACAACGGCTCTGGATACAGCTGAAGTGACGGGCCCCTAGGGCATAATTTCAGGTGCTATTGCAGCGAACATTACCCTCACAAAAACCTAACCATTCAGATCCCTGGTAATGACAACCCAAGGATGAGACTTTCCTCATTTTCATAACTTTTTTATCCCTTCCCAAACCACAACACTCACAGACAAGACACGATCTTCCCAAATCTCAGTCCGGACTCAAGTCAAGCCCATGCAACCCACCACTTACATCCGGACATTCAGCCACTCTCTCTTATCATGGACCCTCGGGTCAAACCTACCGACCCTCCTCCCAATCGTTCATCACCACAACTCTTTCCCAGCCAGCCAGCCAGCCAGCCAGCCAGCAGCTTTTCTTCTCCAATGCGCTTGGAGCGCTACTACTTAAAAACCAACCCGATCGTCAGTATCCCCTCCTTCTCAGCAGCAACAAAGTTCCGAGGCTGGCCATCAATCTCAAACAAGATGACTCGCAACTGCGCGAGTCATTGGCTCTCGTTATCTGCTCGATTAGATCAACGCTCCCCCGGCCCTCCTGTACGTCGTCGATTTGGGATGTCCACCATCCAATCAGTCTGATTATCCGGCTGATCGACCCGACATCCTTGTGGTCTGATGTCTGCATGCATGCATACAGTGAGAGTATTATACCACTGTAGTTGTGGCCTGAGGAGATTCATCTTTCAATCAGCTCAGCCACTCATCTCTCTTCCCTAACTACTATGATTCGTCTATTTCTTAAACAGATCACTGACTGAACAAGGTAAGTCTCTGACTGTACACAGCACACTGTAAGAGCAGGCAGAAGTCATACTCTAGATAGGCAGTAACATTAACAAGAATGAATACACAATAGTAGATAAATCCTCTCATGACGCGCAACANCAACAACCACCACCACCACCACCACCACCACCACCACCACCACCACCACAATTACCAGCCACTTGAAGTCATCCATATCCTAAGCATCTACATCTCCACCCTAAACCAGTCATACTCATAAGAAAAGGCACCCACATCCAAGTCCCTTAGTTCACAACTTCCAAGACTCCCTCCCACCCCTACTCCATACATACATATGACATACATAAATGATCGCATCCCCATCCTCGTATACATTCCTTGTTTCTAGTACCTTGTCACTAGTTACGGAAAAAAGTGTCGGGTGACTTCATTCTACACCACACCATTTTCTTCACCTACATGGATAATCTCCACTTATAAGAGTAATAGAGTATATCTGATGATTTACATGTGGGTCATTCCGCATCGGGATTTGAATCGGGATGCAGAAGAATCTTGTTATTTTAGGCCCTCTTGACGTGACTAGTAGATACTATCAAGGAAGAAAATGAGGGGAATGAAGCGTGTGATGATGGGTTTTCCGTCTTCGGATTAAAGTACCATCCTATTACATGCTGTCTTTGTTCTATAGTACTGTCTTTAGTTTGGTTATGGTGCGGTGGCGATTTCAATCTATCTATCTTCAGGCAGTATTTTTCTAAGTATCTAGTCGGTTGTAGATAGGAGGATGACCTACTACTAGTTCAATCCTGTTGACTACTCTACTTGCCCGTGATAAGCATATCCATTAGCACCGGATGGTCACAAGCAGTACGGAGTGAAGAATCACTTTTTCATTTTCTTCAGCCATAAGAAAAAGAGTATAACCGGTAACACACAACGCCCGCAGCAATGCACGTAAAACCCCCCCCCCAAAGCAAAGGATAGGACATGATTTGAGTACAGTGGAACAAAGTACGTAGGTAGATATCTAAACCCCGCGTATGTTAAAAGTAGAAAGAGTAAGTAAGGTATATCCACAACACAATTAATCATCATCGACACGCGCCCGTTTGGAGCCCCGTTCCGAACGGTCGACTTCCTGGATACCATAGCGCTTTTGGCCTGCACCGGAGCCAGTGACGTCGGCGATCATGCTGTCGATGCCGAAGGGGTCAGTGGTATCTTTTTCGAATTGCACGGGGCCATCACGAGCCTAATTGTGGGGATCAGTTAGCGTATATTTCTTGAGTACGGTGGAGTAAGAGGACGCATAGACTCACCTCAGCTATGTCAGCGCCGCGGAACCCTTCCTTCGCTCTACCGAGCACCTCGAACCGGTTCTGTTTCTGGATCTTGCTCATCTCGCCCTCGGCGCCTTCGCCGTCATCGTCATCCGCCTGCGCCCGTGGACGGTAGATGCTGTTAATGGCTTCCTGCGCGGCAAACAGCGGTTTGTCGTACGGGTTATCCTCGTTGAAGCCCGAGTCCATCCCGCTCGTCTGATTGAACAGACGCGAGTCATACATTGATTCGGATGCCTGCGTCGGCTTGGCCAATCCCAGCGCCACCTTCTCGGAAATATCCCGGTTCTGCTCGCGTGCCATCATCTGGATGCGTCTCTCCGTACCCATCCGCGACTGGCGGAGTTGTCTCTCCGCCTCCTGACGACGCTCACGACGCGCGCGCTCCCGCTCCCGAGCAGCATCCTCATCCTCACTAGCCGAGTACGGCGACGGGCTGCGGCTGACGCTACGCGACGGCGAGCGAGATCCGGCACGAGAATCGCGCCGACTGCTACCAGCAGCTGCACGCTCCTCGCGGGCCTTCTGAGCCAACGCGCGCAGATGCTCCTCCTTCTGGGCCTTCTCCTTCTCCGCCAGCTTCTGCTGCATCTGAGCACGCAGCCTGACCTCCTCTCTGGCGTGCCGATCCGCCGTAAACAGCGCCTCCGCGAACTGCGCGAACTTATCGTTGATCGACACATCCTGCAGCCCGCGTCCATCAGCCGCCAACCGCTTATCCAACGGAACCGTGTAACCCTTAGGATTCTTCCAATTCGACACAGGCGGCGGGATCCTCCACGCTTCCTGATCCTCAGCCGTGAGCTTCCTCGGCGGCGAATGCATAACCGGCGGAGGCGGCGACGGCGGACCGCGAGGGATCTTCTTGTGCTTGAACTTAGGCGGTTCCATGGGATCCTGCTGTCTCTCCACGATCTTCATAATACGATCATTCTTCTTCGACGTATCACCCATCTGATTAGCCGGCGTATACCTCACAAACGTAGGTTCCGCTCGCCGCCCGCCCTTCACATTCTTAGGCTTCTGCGCCGCCGCCGCACCCTCCACTAAGCTGGCGAGCGCGTTCTTTGTCTTCTCCATCTGCGCCTGGACTTCTTCCTCCGACGGCCGGTCCAATGACACCTCGCCCATATCGACGCGCTGGCGCAGCGGAATCAGATCCTTAAAGGAGGCATGCACGATCCGGTTGTCGCTGTGTCCGCGGCGCGCGATAGCATCGTATTTGACTTTTCCCTCGGCGTCGACTTGCACGGCTAGGGCGTTCGATGTCGATGATGTGCCCTTCCGGCCCATATCGAGCGGGTACTGCGCGACTAGAATCTCGGGGAACGCGCCGCCATCGCCGAAGTCTTCGGGGGCGCGGGGCCGCCATCCGGCTCGGTTCTGGTAGGGAGGGGGCCCGGTTCTCTGTATTCGTCGTAGTCATCGTTAGCATTATTGGCATTGAGTTGAAACGGTAAAGGGGGGCTAAGATTTCTGTGGATTATGTATGGAAGCGGTGCTACCAACCCGGAGAACAATCTGTGTTTCGTCGAGTTGTCCCGGGCCTACGACCCGCGGACCTCGGGGTTGTGCATGTTGTGGTAGCTCTTCCTCCTCGCCGGTGTATTTCGGCTTGGGAAGAGACTTGAATAGGCCCTCCGCTATGGATGCCATTCTGAAGTTGTGAGGGGGAGGGGGAGGATTGGTTGGAGGAGGAATATGATGAAATGGTTCTTCGATGGCGAGTGAAGATGGGCTTGGCTTCTTTTGGCGCAGCGGGAATCGGGCGGGTCACGTGCACAGTCACCGCCTTGAGAGGATCGGGTTTGTTGATAGCTGAGTAGTTGGGTTTGTAGTCTACGCTGATTTATTTTCAAGGTGATAAGAGATAAGCTAAGTGTGAGTAGCTTGGTATATATTCGAGTAGAGAATGAGGTCGAGTGTCGGTGCGCAGTAACCACCAAGTCCGACACCATAAATTATCCTCGTCCAATGCTCTCGCTAACGTACACGAGGTTATCGACAAATGCATGCAATATATGATTCTAACGCCTGGAGATATTCAAAAAGGGAAGAAGTATGTTATGGGTAATGCACATTCCCTTATGCACATATGAATGGAGAGTGATGCCAAAAAGCAAGTGGTGCAGCATGTATACAAAATCAAGAAAAGTAGGGAGATATAGATCTGCTCAGCTACAATAGATGCGAACGCATAGGACAGGAAATGTCTTCTGTCTCCTTTGCTTCGACGTAATGCTCCTGTCCATGGTAATTGTACCATATCTTGAGCATCTTAGGCAGAAGTGGAGCCGGGTCGTGGAATCCAAGGATATGGGACTGCGTCAAACTCAAATCAGCACTGCTAGCATCGCCTGCAGAAGGGAACTGTAAACTCACCTTGACCATCTCCTTGGGGATGGCCAGTTGTCCGTGGTCAACCAGTGCAGCTACTGGGATGGAGACGTCCGTGACTTCCGGTTCTCGGCCGCTTTCCCTGTCCTTCTTCGAAGGATAGTAGCCGTACTCAGCCCGGAGAATGACCAAACCACCCTGCTTAGCCTCTTTCGCCTGCCGGCGTTGTACTTGCTCGGTCATAATATCAATAGCTTCTTGGCTCTCGGCCCGCTTCTTGGGCACAAGTCTTCTCAGCTGCTTCTGTCGTCGGGCAATCGCCCGGCGATGCCTCTTTCTCTCCCTTGGACGAATAAATCCAAACTCTAGCGCGCAGTACGCTAGCCACGGGCAGATAATAGCCATTGCCGCTACATCCGCATCGACAAGTCCAAATGGGATAACAGATACGGGCACCCTGATCTTCTGGCCCAGCCTGCTCCAGGACATAGTCACGACGAGGCCCTGCATATCTCGAACACCAACCCCAAGACCCAAGCGAGTGAAATCGCCAACCTGGCGGGTCCCCTCAATATGCCATCCAAGCGCCAAATCAAGCCCCACGGTAGTCTCAACATTTACCCGTACAGATCGCGGCTCATTGTCCTCCGGCAACGAATGATGGCCCTCGGAGCTCCATTCAGAGCGTAAACGCTCGTAGGCCGTTTTCCCTGAGAAAACATTGCGCGAATACACAAATGACAAAGTAGTTTGCATCGGGGTCGCTATCACGTTCGTCTGCCAGGCTTCGGCAGCTCCAGTTTGCTTGCGCTGCTGGCGGCGAACCATTTCAAACTCCTCATCCTCCTCGTCCCCCTCCACCTCTTCCTCGACATCCGCCGGGGAAATCAGCCGCTTGGGCTGAGAGACGACGCCGATTTGGAAATGACTGGACTGAGCTGGAACGGTCATTGCAGTCTCGGCGTTCAACCCGATCTCTATAAGGGGTAATAAGGAGTGGCGGAAACGTTTCGGCCAGATTAACGAGCCGCTTGACCAGCTACTTACCAAGAACCTCCTATCACCTATCTGCCTGGTGACCTTAAGACCAAGGCGAGGAGGCGCACGTTGCAGCGACCGGTCAAAATTAACATCG